TAATCTCCATGCAGAATGCCTACACCTAACTGCACATGTCAAATATTAGAGTGAAAATAGAAGACGACTCAAGTCATAACCTTTATTGACCATAGCTGCCTTAAGGAGGATTGATGCCCAGCATCAAGGAAATGTGTCTTTTGAATATTGTGGAACCAATCTAATGAAGGCCCTTGGCTCAGTGTGTCATTCAGATGCTCTAGCTGTATTGGGGCATGGATAAAATTCTGTTCTTTCTTCTTGAGATAGCTGTGCTGTGATTCTCTTTATGGTAGGTCTGACTATAATTTAAAAAGTTCAGTTTGAACTGCGTTTTGGAATGTGTCCTCACTTCCCCCTTTTTCTTCAGCCATGAGCGTCCTGCTGTCTCTCACCTTTGTATGAGGGAGTCACTGTGATGGTGCAGCAGTGTACTGTGGCATTAGAGACTTTCAGCAGAGCTTTTGACTTGGGCTGTCATGGCCTCCTCTTCTGTTCTACTATTTTGTTGTTGGATAATTTTTTATTCTTTCTCTTCTTTTTCTTTGCTCAAATGGGAAGGTGAACAACTCCTTGCTGTTTGTAACTTGCAAATGAAGCAATTGGCCCATTTTTTTCCTTTTTCAATTAAAAACGTTTTTAGTATGTAGAAATTCTCAGTGAGTGGACTGATGCTGGTAGCAGCTTCTATCACAGCCTTTCAGATTAGTGGCAGATGCCCATGGCTTTTCTTGTGGCATTTGACAATTTGAGAGAAGTGTAAAAACTTTAATTTTCTGTTTTGTCAAATGGATCAAATGATCCCAATTTCCAGGCAGATAAAAAATGTCAACTTGGAATCTTCTTTGATCTGTTCTTTTACTGGCTATGGAATGAAATGGAGTGAATGGGGAATTATCTACCCTCCTTGAGAGTCTGCTGCCTATTGGCTGGTTTTCTGTGTTGTTCATCCATCTCACTGTGCATTTCTAAATTAAATTACTGCTTCAGTCTGCAGGCATTGCATCCTTCAGTCTGTTCTCATTGCAATTCAGGATGAATATAAGTTACCAACAAATTAAGTATATGTATGTGTATCCATTTTTGTATGCAGATGGATGATGTTATTCCTTCTGGGGAGTAATAATTTTGTAGTTCAAAGATGCTCTAATAGAATTCAACATCATCTCTTTAATCTTTGTGTAGTTCCAATTTTTTAAAAGATCTTTCATTCAGAAGGTTGTTCTTTTTTTACTGTTTGTTTGTTTTTTAAATCGGTCTCAGCCAATTTATTTCCCTTATTTGCAATGATTTTATTTTTTTTTTTACATCTGTTTACTGTTCTCCCTAATATAACCAGTGGATGCATTATTGTTGCTCTTACTCATTTTTTAGGAACTCTGTACGTAATTGTTGGATCCAAGATAGGGTAGAAACAAGGGCGGTTTATGTGCTTTGTTGTGGTTTGCTTTTGCTTTTGTCTCTAGTTTTTGTATGAATCTGATAGGCTGGACAGCCTTCCCTCCTTTTTATTTGTCTATTCAAGTTTCATTTACATTGGAATGTACTTTAACATGTATCAAGAAAAAGGTCCCATGATTTTAAAACTGATGTAGTAGTTGTCTGGTTTTATTTGGTTTTGTTTTCCTGGGAAAGAAAAGTGAGGTTAAAAAATCTTTTGGTGTTTTTTGTTTTGTTTTGTTTTGTTTGTTTTGTGATTTGTCTACAATTTAGATGTTTGAGTTTTTTGGAAGTATGGTCACTTAAGGGAAGGTGCTGTCAGTTAACAGAACAAATAAAAAACAACCTCTTTCTTAGCTTATTAGTTCTGTCTTTGGTCCAAAGCAAAGTAGCACAGGCAGAACCAGCTACATAGATAAGAACATTACTCTTGGGCTTCTTTTTTTCCTCAGATAACATTGCCAAATATTCATCATTAAAACTCCTCTGGATTGTAGACCTTGACCACATTTTATATTTCTCATAGGTGAAGTCTGGTAGATGTACTGTGACAAACAGAACGTACAGCTCTCATGAAGAGCTCATTTAGACTACGAATTCTGTGCTGGCAGATCTGTTCTCAATGTAGCTTTAGCACTGATATCCTGTATGGCGGTTCAAAGATGTTAGGGAGCAATGGCTCGTGGCATTGTATGCTGTCAGAGCAGGAGAGCTGATACAGGTTAGGGAGATAAGGAATGCAAGAGGTTGGAAAGGAAGGAAACTTGATACCTTTCCAAAATTAGTTTGGATATGTCACTGCCACAAAACTGCTTAAGCTCTGTAATCACCTACCTTGACTTGTTGGTTCTCTGAGCTCTCAGTATTTGACTTCATCCTATTAGAGTTTGAGAATAGCCCTGGGATGAAGGAAATGGAGGTATCACTTGACATCTGCTTGGGTTCAAACTGTCATTGAGTTTTGGCTCAGTGCTAAGAGTGTTTAATAAATGCTCATTTCCTCCAGGAGTGCCCACTTTTTTTCTTGTGCTATCCTCTATCTGGTGGGGGGGTTACTTTAAGGCCTTTGTCACTGCAGACTAGGGCCTGACCAAAAAAAGCTCCTAGCTTAAGTCTGTGCTACTACATAAGTATAGTTACAGTGGTTCTACTTGCGTGTAGATGTTTTACATTAAACTTTACATGGCTTTTGGTGGACCGTGGTGAATGGATGCAAACTTACTCTGATCTATGTATGTTTGTATGTTCACTATCACCTTTGTATTTTAAATAGGAAAATTGTCTGCTGCCCAGATCTATAGTGCTTCCTCTGCCTGGTTAATTTCATGGGCAGAAATGTAGCAGTCTGCACTGGGTAAGGATTGTTCTTGGTGTGTATGCTTTACTTCTTCACTCAGAGTCATGCTTCCTTTATGTTCTGCTGCAATTTAAATTAATGCCTTCTTGAAATGAATGCGTTCAAAAGATTTTTCTCCAGAGTCTCTGGAAGTTCAGGAAGAATGCTATGTAACAGTTGCACTCTGCTCCTGGTGGAGGCATTTTTTATACTTGCAGAGTTAGAGTGGCTTATTTTAAAGAGGGAAGACTGCAGAAGGTAGTGCAGCAGAAAAGGGTTGGTTTTGGTTTTTCTTCGGTGAAAATTCATCACCTCAGGTCAACTCCTGGAGCAGACTGAGCTAAAAAGATGTAGAAAGCAGATAGGCTTTTTTTTGTAAGTACCCTGATAAAGTTAAGATTGGTTTGAGAGCCGTAATCTATATTTTGGTGAATTAAAACATGCTTTCATATTTTGTTTCTGCTTGTTTGGTTTGGTTTGGTTTTGTTTTCAAGGAAAAAAATAATTCTTACTACGGTAAAACTGCTCATTGTTCATACTAAAAACTGCATGTATGAACTGATTTTGCTTCTGAAACAGCGAGTAGTGCCAGCGAATTGTGTATGTACAGGTTGTATGCATGCATGCAGTGTGTACCACTTTAATCTTGATGGTGAGCATTTTAAATGGGCTGCAGGAGTTCAGATACTTTAGGTTTCGGATATTGTAGGAGACAGATTTTGGGGGAACTGCTGAGAAGTAGAGTATCTTAGGAAATAAGCCAGAAAAATGAGAAGCCAGAGAGTAGATAGGAAAGAGTGAGATGGAAGAGGAAATAAATCAAGATCTTAAACCAGTGGCCTTTGCCAGAATATGACTTGATATGACCTGTCAGAACACTGCACTGGTACCCTGTTGGGTGTTACTGTCCCCATATGCCATTTGCTCAGTTTTACTGTCCGTGTCACGGGTTTGTATAACAGCTTCCTGCAGCACACAATATATGTTGACTTCTAATATCTGCTGTGTCCAGTAGGAAGTGTTGTGCACTTCTTTCCTGTGTGGTCGGAGTGAGGTTTGATAGGAGTCATAAAGGTAGACAGTGGAATACCAAGAGGAAGGAGGAAAATACATAGGAGAGAAGAGAAAGGTAGCGACGTGGATGGTAAGAGAGCTTAGAGAACAAAAAGGGGATGATGTTCTGCCTTTAGTGTTTGTGGAGATGAAAGTTTAGAGAGTGAGAAAGATGTAAGTTCATCAGTTTAGAGCACTGAAGGAGTCATCTGCCCTGTGTTTCTGGGAATTTAAAGTGAAATTTCGTACAAGAAAAAGCCACTAACAACTGACAGGAGAGGAAGCGTCTCTTCGTGGTCAGAAATAAAGAATTAAAATAAAAACTGGTGAAAAATAATGCAACTTGTTTATCTCCTGTTAGTCATACAGTCAGCTGATGGATTTATTTTGTGTGGTTCTGGCAGTATTGTCTAAGAGGTGTTCTTGGTTTTATCCCTTTGGCCAAATGTAGTTCGAAGGATCCATCACTAATAGGGGTATCTGAAAGACCACTCGAGAACAACAGAGTAGGATGTGCAGATTTTAAACACCCCCAGGATTTTTGTATTCTTTTCTGAGAAGCTGCTTACATGGAGTATTTGAAAAGGCTATTTTAAACTTGCTTTCTTTCTTTTTTGTAATGGATGTAAAACTTTAAACAGTCCTCTGATAGCATCTACCAGTGCAGAGCCGTCTAATAAATATCCCTCTGCTCTTAACTAAGATACCACCTTTTAGGATCTGTGATTTTGTAGTTGTTTTTCTCTGTATGCTCCTCTTAGTTTTCTGATTTTTCTACTTTCATCTCTTGTCTCTTTTTCACACACTTAAGATCTCAATGTTTAGTACCCACGGGCTTTGCCAAATTTGCCCTCAGGTGTGATGGTACTTGAACTTCCATCCAGCCTATAGAGGCCATACAAACCAATGGCACTGTGGGATGCTTTTTGTTGGAATAGGAACAAAGAAAGAGAAGTTGAATGTTTTCTTGAACTCTGGTAACATGCAGTTCTTGTGTTTCAAAACTGTCCCTTGGTACAAAAGATGCAGGTGTTTACCTCTTGAATGAAGCATCTTTGAATGCTGTTTAACATTCCTGCTTCCAGTACCTGCACTAGCATTTTTTAGATTGTGGTTTCTTCCTGCTACTAGTTGTGCTATGATAATATATTAGACACCTTGTTAAGTTGAGCTTGTTTCCTTCTTCTGACAGCTGCAAATCAAAAAGAGCCCTTGACTCCAAAGTTCAAAGTGAAAGATGAGCCTAAGGATGAAGAAGCTGCAAGTTCAACCTTGTCTCAGTCCAGCTATGTGTTCAGCCAAGAATCTGAAGCCTCAGCTCCCAGTGTGCCTAAGGAGAAACTCAAGCCACAGGAAGCACCGGCAAATATGATGAGGCAGGACATATCGGTCAAGGCAGCGTCTGAGCTCCTCATGAAGCTCTCAGGTGGGTATTTAATAATATTCAACTTCTTGATATTTTTTAAAGTATGCTGGCTGGCCTACTGCACAGAAGAAGTGGTAAGCTTGTAGCAAGTGAAGGAACAAATGAAAATATTTATCTACGCAGGTTCGTATACATAAGACAACTCAGTTTGTTCTGTCACCATAGTATCTAATTATCTGTGTTCTGCACAGATTTCACTGGTCTTCACATTAATGACTATGGGATAAGTCAAAAGAAACTATGCCTTAAAGCTTTTAGATGCTGTCATTTTTAAAATGTACCAAAACATGTTCATACCAATTTATTCACATTTGTGTCACTTCATTAACATCATAAAAACGTGTATCTGTACTGAACTAAATGAACTATATCTGATACAGTTTTAAAAATGGTAGGCTTTTAAAGCCTTTTATTTTTTCCTGACAGTATCTTATACTCAAAATTGGGAGAAAAAATAAATGAACTGAGAACACTTGCACTTGCCTGCATTGCCTTAGTAATACAATGTTCTGTCAGATAGCTAGACAGTATGCATGTGTATACACAAAAGTACTGTTACAGCTGAAGGGAGTCAAATAAAAATGTATGTTCTGCTAATTATGCTTTATCTAACTGTTAGACTGTTAGAATTGATGTTTCACTTAAAGGAAAATAGAAAGTTTGAATTTATACCCACTGGGAACAGGTCTTTATGATGAAAAGGATTTGGACTTGTAATACACTTCAATTTTTAGTGCCAGGAAATAAATGCTGGTCTCAGAGGCTAGGATTCATACTTCCCCACCTAAGCTGGCTTCTAAGGCTTATCCAGAACTGCGCAGGACTTTTTCTTTTTCTTTTTCTTTTTTTTTGCTTTTTGATTATAACTTTAGCAATTTCAGAAATTTCTAGAAATCTATCTGAAATTATTTGTCTTTGAGCTCAAATTTATACCTGGAAAGACTTCAGTTGGCTGGGATCTCTCACATGAATTCTAACATGTAATTAATGCACTCCTGCTCATACCTGTAGGTAAGAAGAATTTCAATCACTAGAATGCAGGCCTTGGTGTTGCTGGTGCTAAAAGTGCATCCTGGATGTAAATATTGATCAGAGCAGATGTTTCCCAATTTTTCAAGCTCCCAAACACTAAACATTTTGTCATAGATAAAATGCATTCTTGTTACTGGTATTTGGTTCAAGTATTGTGTTCTCTTAACAGAACTTTATGGCCTAATGAATGTTAACTGATTATTTTTCTTGCTTCATTTAAATTAATATATATATATTTCCATGAAGGAAGAGCTCCATAACTTAATGATTTTTCAAATGCTTCAGAGACACTGGGTTTTTTGACTCTGACTGTTGACTTCAGTAATAGCAGGCTGTGTATAGTTTTAATACAGACTTTATTATATTAGAGCATTACTGACTTAAATATCTGTGGATATTTGGAGATTTGGCATATATATCGTTCTTGATCAGGCCTTCAGTCACTTCTGCTGGAAACTCCCAGTATTTAAAGGTTCTAGTAAGAAATAGACTAGTATAACATTTCCCTTATGATCTCTTAGTGAGCGGGCAGTTTTTGCTGACAGTGTTTTATCAGTAGACTGAAAAAGGAAAAAAAACAGGATTTACTTGGGCACTATTGCTGAAATTGACATTCCAGAGTCAGCCAGTGGGTGGAGTTCTATCAACTTTATCACAGGTACTGTCTTCAATTTGTACTTTTCTGAATTACCGTTTAAGACAGAAAGTGTAAAACACTAACATACAGCTAAACGTAGAATAAATATAAGGGGGGAAATCTAAGATCAAACATCTCTTTAGTATCTTTGGTGGGGTTTTTTGTTTGTTTTTTAATTTGTTTGCTTTATCTGATAGAATATTCTGAGATCACAACCAACATCCCAAATTATTTTAATCAACTTTTCGCTCTGCTTTTAGTGATGTGGTATTTAAACAACTATTTATGCAACTATTTATTTCTGACATAATAGTAGGCATCCTGACATACGTCTTTCTGTTATTCTCTAGCAATAATATTGCCAACTGTTGATAATTCATTTGAGTTTCTTGGGATTTCGGCATGTATCTTTCATGAGAAAGATGCACTGGTTTGTTTTTTTTCACTGGAAAATCTCTTTCCCAAAACAGTTGCACTGTGTTGCTAACTCTTAGCTCAGTTTATACAGATAGTGGAAGGCTTTTCTGGCTCAGGAACCTACTTCATACTACCAAGATAGACTCATTTGTAAATCACCTGTCTCTTGAGAATATAATGCAGAGACTTGTCCACTACTTGGAAATAACTTTAAATCTAGGAGAAACTTGGAAGAATAGGAATGTTTTACTGAAACAGTATTTTAATATTGAACATTACTAGTTGTCACCGTGGATATAAAAGTACAGAAACGAGCAAAAATTCACATGTGGAGCTGTCTGTATTTCAGTTCTACTGCATAGGTTTACTTTCTTCTCTGAAAGCTAAAATGCTGTCAGGATACTTGCGTGCTTTTAGCAGGAGACAACCAGTGCTTGAGGTCAGGTCCTTATCCTGGATATTACTTCAGTGGAGTTGGCCCTTGTCTGAAGATGTTCTGCCCTTTTATACCAGTTTTCTGGTATACTGGTTCCACTTGAATTTTAATCTCCTACCTCACAATTCATAAGCTTGATGCATAATCAAGACATCACATTTTGAACACTTCTTGCAAAGAGTAATGTCATTTCTAGGGCATATGTTGGTAAAACTCATTTTCATCTGTCCAGTCTAAACAAAACTTTGTAACAACTGATTTGGTATGTTAAAATAAATAGAGCACCCATTTGACAATGGTCTTTGTGGGTTAGCAATTTAAGCTTAAGTTCAGATCTTCAACCTACATTTACAGAAGAGTGTAAAAACTGCCATGTTTTATACAAACGTGTAAAGCTGAGCTGTGAATGCAGTTCATTACTAAGTCTTCACTGAGATGAGACAGAATGGTACCCTGATCGATTTGAAAAGGTAGAGAAGTGGAGCAAATGGCTCTCATCTCAGCCTAGTAGAGCATTGTTCCTGCATGGTTTTAAATTCATATTAAATACTGCACAAAATCACGTGTAAGAAATCAAAGTAACGTATTTCAAATGCACCTAAACCAGCTTTCTACACTCTTTCTTACCTGTTTTCTTTTACGGGAAAGCTGATTTAACTAACACTATCAGTGATCTCTGAAGAGGTTTATGCTCACAGTCTTGTAAGCTGAAAGGTAGGTTCCGGAGGAGATTGAGATTTAAAATAAATGTTTGCATCTACATCCTCATGTTATAGCTTAAAAGCTCATTTTCTGTTGCAGTAGTTGTGCTGCTGATATGTTTGGAGTATGTATTATATTTCAGAAGCATATATTCCTTTCCCTTCTTGTCCAAAAAGGGGATGTATAGCTGGAAGTATATAAATTCTGTTCCAGCTACTAACATTTTAGAAGTAATATTTTACTCTGTTGCCTTGAACTATCACACTGATAAGTCTGTCTTCCCTAGAAATGTTGTCTGGATCCTATTTGCCTTAATTTCAGCTGTATCTTCTTTGTGTGGTGTAGTTATTTTGCATTTCTGAAGTAACGTAGGTCCTTTTGCTCTTCTTTCAGTAGATCAATTCCAGATATATTGCAGCTATCCTTGTTATCAGTACCAAATCCATGACCTTTGTACTACTCAGTTCCTTTGGATTTTTCTGTACTTCAGTACTCAGGTCACAGTGCTTCTGTGCCTAGTACAAACAGTGTGTCATAATTTTGGGGTTTTGAATAGTTGAAATTAATGCATGTTTAATTCTAGACAAGGATGTGAAATAGTATCTTGTATACAATTAGTTCCAAAACTGTCTTTGATGAACTCTCTATATTACCTAATTTTACACCAATTCAACACACAGCACAACTGCTTGCTGTGGGTTTTACTTTTTCTTTTGATTGTTTACTCTAATTTCCTCCTTGATGCCTCATAACAAATTTTGTTTCCACTATATCTTAGGTTCAGTTGAAACCACACAGATGGAAAAAGGAAAATAAAGAAAAGAGGTTTGTGCAATTCTAGCATAAGTTGAAGGCCAGAAGACCCCACTGCTATTCCCATTCTAGAAATAACCCATTGGGTTTTAGGATGCAGTACAGTGAAGGACTGTCTGAGAAGACTCTAAGCTAGCTCATACCAAAGCCAGTTCAGTCACACCAGCGTAGACTTAAAGAGGAGCTAAATGAGCATAGCATTTTTTAAAGTTTAAGTAGGAATGCTTCCTTGTGCTAGTGTGGCTCAACAGCTGATGACGCTTCATGAAAGGCTTAGGTAGCTTTATGCTGCTTTATGCTTAGCTATCATCAGCAGTGTGAATTAGAAATAATAAAAAGGAGTTTGTGGCTAGTAAGCTGTTTTTCTTAGCAGTCACAAAAACTTACCAGGTTTAGTGCATTGTGTTGGTGTTGTTTTTGTTGTTGTTTGTTTGTTTGTTTGTTTTATTGTTACAATGGTGAGGAAAACATACATTATTTACATTTCCTTTTTGTGTGTGTGTGTAAATTAAGTGGCTCAGAAACTAGTTGTCCTACGTATAGATTCTTAACTTGGTGGCTGTTCTGGGAAGTACTTGTATGGAGCTGGACTGCTGTCTTTGGGGACAACCGTTGTCAGAACTTTCTAAGTGTGTCCATCCCTAGATTGCAGGGGAGTTGTTGAGCACTTTCATCCCTGCTTGGAATACCTTGATAATAGAGGTAGGGGTGAAAATGAGGGAAGGTTTTTGTTTCTTGGTCTCTAAATGGCTCATTAGAAGGCTTTGGGCAGCAGTGGGTACTTCTGTAGAAGCCCAGATAAATAAGCAGAGAACTGTCTGCCCCAAAATAAGACTTTCTTAGCTAGAGATGGTATGGTAAGCCATATAGACAGACTGAAGTCCACTACTTTTTTTGTGAGTTTTTTTTCCCCCCCTTAAAAATGTGGAAATAATTGTGAATGGTTAGGGTGAAGCTTTATTT